AATATTTTTAAAGATATTGAACCGGCAGTTTTCCGTTTACAGAGTGGCAGTGATATCCATTTTTTTTCATTTCACTGCTATTTAAAACTGATTTATAACTCTATCTAAGCAAGTGATCTCTTTAAGAGCTCCACAGTGTCCTGCATAAATCTATATTTTTTCACAATAAGCAAAAACTTGGGTTAGCAAGTTATTAGTACCCCTTAGTGCCAACACTATGTTTGGTTGTTGTAATAACTACATTATGGAATGCGAAACCTTCTTAAAGACCAATTATCTGTATTTTCTCTGCAGAATTTGGAGTGTTGTGGTAATGTGTGCATCTGTGACAGGTCTGAGTCTCCACACGCGGTCAGTACTGCACTGGAGAGGGGTGATGAAGCTAGTGGAAACTAAGCTGACCCACTATCTCTGTCACCTTATGTACTTTATTGATCCTACAAGTGAAATTTGTCATTTTGAGGCCTAACTATGCCCAGTTTTAGTGTGGCGCTTGGGGCAATTGAGGGTTAACTGCCCTGCGTAAGAGCACAACCAGGTATACCCAGTCAGTCCTGAGAATTGGACCCGTGACTTTCCTGTTGCTGGCTCACCTCTATCAGCCACCTCTATCAGGCTATTAGCCACCCCACTCTAGTCTGAGGGCAGAAGGGCAGGGGCTCAAGCCCTGTGCAGATTCCTTGTTTGGGAGTTTATGTGGATTGTGGGCGCTGCAACTAATAATTATTTTGATTAATTGAGAAAGATGATGCAGCTATTTATCAACAATTGGTATTAAAAGTTTAACATTATGCACAGTTTCTTTAAAAGAAAACAAGCATTATTTCTTCTTTTGAACTGTGCTATTTTAAACATAAAACATGCACTCCTTATCTTTTATATCATATTTGCAAAAGAACAAAGACTCATCAAGCGCATAGCAACAGATCTTCTGCTTGGCTCTTTAAAACACAATTTTAGTCCATGTGAAAGGTGCAGAAAGAATAAAGGAACAAATTATTTTCCCTAAAATAATGAAAGCTAAATGAATTCGCTTCTGTGTGGTCAGTAACATCTGAAGTAACCCTGAAATTACCGACTGCACAAAAACAGCCCAGTTATCTGCCATGTTAGACACAGCAAAACGGCACTGAACATGCACATGCCAGTGCTTTCAAAATATAAGTTACAATTTACCTGTCCATGCAGTTCAGACAAATTCAAAATGCAGGTCCATTCGGCTAACATAGTTTTTTTTAATTTTTTGTTTAGACTAATCTTGAACAGAATTAGCTGAAAAGCGGACAGTGTCACTATTTCTGACTTCTGTCTGCGGTTTTAGTCTGTATTTTCTGTTTACAACTGAAAGCCATCTTTGTAGATGGTGATACATTTTTGTTTCCATATTTTTTTTTACCTTTGTGTCATGCATTACCCTGTGGAGCAGTCTGTATTTTCTTTTAATGAAGCGATGTGTTGTTAGATAAGCCCTAAGTAAGCTCTGTCAAGCCGTATGATCAATTACGAAACTATTTTTATCATCATTGTTAGCGATTTAATAATTTCATTGTTGCAGCCCTAGTGGATTGTATACGTCTGGCTGTGAAAGTATATGTGCCTGTGTGTTAATTGGAGTGTTTAAGCCTGTCTGCAGGTGGTATGGATGGTGGAGGGTGTGCAGGCTATGGTGTGATAGTCCTGAGTGGATGCATGAAGAATAGATTGCTCAAACAAGATAAACAGTGCTAGGCTGCCATTTCAGTCCTCATTTATAGGTTTGCGACCCCATGTGTGTTTCTGTTACGCGATTTTGTCTTGCCTTTGAAAGGAATAGTCCAATGGAAAAAGCAAACTTTTCCTCCAAAGTGTAGCCAATTAGCCAAGACATAATTGGTCTGGAGTTTACTTGCTTAGCCTTTTACTGGAAGTGTGAAGCAAATGTAGCTAACAAATGCTTAAAACCATGTTAAGGTGTTGAGTGATCTTAATTAGACTTGATTATGTGGCTACTAACACTGAATAGCATTGGCATAACTGGCTAATCTGCTTAATTGTCCCGTGACTGATGTAATTAAGTTTACTTTAAATGAGCTACGTGAAATCCCCTCAGGAAAAAGTTTAACATTTACTTTTGTGTTTATGCATTTTCCAGACGCTCTTATAGTGCAAATATAGTGTTAGGTGTCTTGCTCAAGACCTCCTATTAGTAAAATGTGGTGTGGTTGCCCTGACAGGGAATTAAAGCCCTGTCTGCTGCATGAAAGACACTTAAATGGCCCCAAACAAATTTTCTCTTAGGAAACATTGTTTGTTAGGATAAAAGAGTGTGAGGTACTACGCAAACACTGTTAAACGTTTTAAAATGTGCTGTTCACACCACTGTCCATACAGTTCATAGATAGAAACTTAAGCTGTAAAATCAGTTTTAAATAATTATTTTTGTGATGACATATAAAAAAACAAAATATTCGGCCTACGTCATGTTAGCCCCACCTTTTCACGCTAAAGTTATAAAGAGTGTTTAGCTGGTTCTGCTTTTGTGGCATAATGCAGGGCAGCCAATGAGAAGAGTGTCATTCACATCCATCAGTCTTAAAGGCACGGTAACTGAAACAACTTGTTTTAATTCTAAAGCATAAAGAAAAGTTGGAAAAGGTCATGTAAAAAAGAAACAAAATAAGATTTTGGTACACAAAACTACATAAACATCATTTATTTTTTGCCTCAAGGAAAGAAATAAAGTGCAAGTAAATGTAGGATATGGGCCCTTTTAAGTTCTGCACAGTTGCGATTTTTAATGTATAGCTTTGCATATATACCTCATGCTAAGTTATGCAAGTGTCCACAGATCATTATAACTCTTTTTACATGTTGGGCAGCTCATTTATTATCATGTTTTTATCGTACTTCTATGTATTAAAAAATACAAAAGTATGTTACATAACTAAAAACAACAGCCTGAAGCCTTTTCTGTACGTTTGTCCATTTTAATAAGCGTTGTGATGTGTCATGTCAGTTTCAGAGAATTCTATAAATCAGATTTTTTGACCAAACTATTGCATTAACCCAAATACAGAATTTGTCTTTGTGTGTGTGGATGTGCTCACAGATGCAGGTGTGTGTATAGATGTCAGGAGAGACAGGGCGGTGGGAATTGATCACTGTGCCTGAAAATTAGCTATCACCTTTTCATCCATCTTCTCTTCACCAGTCCACAAGACACACACACACACACACACACACACATTACCTGCACAAGGCTGACATGCAAGTCCAGCCACCTAAGCCCTTACATGACATCCACATAATGGCAACATCAGTAACCCTGTTCCGCCCTCTTCACTGGCTCAGTCCAGCAGCCTGCTCTTAGAGAAGCATTGCTCTCTTATTACTGCTATTATACTGTAACATCCAAAGCATAGAAATAAGATTAACTGCTAATTAAAGCTTAAGAGGTGGAGTGACTTATAATATATAGGCCTGCATGTATGGAGGATGTGAAGAATGGCCTTGAGAAGGTAGAATAGAGTGTTGTTAAATAATAGAAAAGCTCTTGGTTCGTCTGCTGTGTCTCTGTAGAGTTGAGGGGAATATAAAGCACTCTCTGAGCTGGGGGAGTGAAGAATGGCATGCGTGTTTTTGGCGGACCCTTTTGCCGCACTGCTGGGAATGCATTATGGAATGGAGAGATCCGTCTCATTACGGTAATGAGCTGCAAGCTCGCTGAATGGGCCATGCTTTAAAAGGAGCTTTAAAAATGTTAAATGAGACCATTCTTAATCCCGGATCCTCGACCGCGCCACCTCAGAGAAAGGCATCCGAGTCGTCATATCAGCACCAAGTCGCACAATGGATCCCTATACGAGGCTGAGCATTAAGGCAGGAGCTGGGGGTCTGTTTAAACTATTGCAAGCTGTCTGGTGTGATCTAGTGACAGGACGGCTGGGGTTAGCTTGCTGCCCAGCTCTATTGACTCTGACATGAGTAAGTGTAGGAGCAATTACATTAATGTAGCGGAGCAGTGGGCCGTTGCTGGGCCCGTGCGGGGTTTGTGTGTGTGTGGTGGAGAGAGAGACAGACAGGGGTACAGGGGTTAGCCTTTGCTCCTTCAAGCCCAAAGGGATTCCACCCACTGTATGTTCCATTTGGTTTCATAAAGGCTGGCTAATTAACAGCTCTATTTCTGCGCTCCCCCAGGCCTCATACAGGTCAGACAATGTAATGTAGCCCACGGTTACCAATGGCAGGTTGTCTCCTGTCGGTTTTTTCCTGGATTGTGTGTGTGTGTGTGTGTGTGTGTGTGTGTGTGTGTGTGTGTGTGTGTTTTCGAAGTAATTGTCCAGGAATTGTATAGGAAAACCAGAATTTGGCAGTTTCTTTTTGTTACTGAGGTCCAGGTTAGAGTTAGTTTTAGATTCAGGCTAAGAGAATTCAGTAACACCTTACTGAAGGGTAGTGTACTTAAGGCTACATGACACCTACATAAGCTTGACATATGTGACATAAACTTGCGTAAACTTATTTCAGTATCGCTGTCTGTCATAAAGGCTGCTTTTGTCAGCTTATATGTCAGATTGAAGTAACACCTTTGTCAACTTTATAACAATGATTTTGTGTATATGTGTGTATGTTTATATAAGATGTACAGGATGCCAATCTATATGTGCAGGTAAAGATTTGCTAGATGTATAAGAAGTATATTATAGTTATACATATAATTCATATGACCCCACATTCTCACAAGGTATGAAACAGGTGTGTGTTGGTGTGTGTGTGAGCAGACACCTGTGTGTGTGTGTGCTCGGCTGTTGAAGCTGCATTGATGTAGTTGAGGTTCAGGTAGAGAGGGTGAGGTTGGAGCAGTGGGTCTGGCAGTGTGGACTGTGTCTATGGTGTACAGTGTGAGGCCTCTGAACACCACAACACTAACTCTCCCTTCTACAGTACTGCCACCTCACTTTTCTACACCCACCATCTCTCTCTCTCTCTTTGTCTGATATCGTCTTTGTTTCCCTCTGCAGATATCTGGGTGATGGAAGGTTTCACTTGGAATCAATCATGATCGCCAACCCAGACATTCCTGCTTACAGGTGACTGCTGTCACATCACCCTGCATTTCACAATCAGAAGAGCCAGAGAGGGGTATAAATCTCTGACTTCACAGCAAGGGTGGGGAATATGATATTTATCGTTACTGTGATAAATTACATCACAGTTTGCTTTTCTGAGCATATTGTGGATGTCGTCAGTACTTAAAGGACACTGGACAGCTGCATGTTGTGCTGCAAAGGAATAGTCCTGTTTAATTAGTTAATGTTATTTAGTCCAGTGCAGTTTGTAAAACATTGAAGAAAAATGATTACACTCATTGTTTTGACTGTCATTTTTTGAATGTGGCACTACTGGGATGTTTTTTTCTGTTTCAACTTATCAAACCTTTAGGAAACTATTGAATGCAACATGAAATCTCAAATTAAAGGTTGTTTATCAATTAATACATCAAGCTTTTTAGGCTTTTTTGATTTATGTTTGGAAACAGTGTAATATAGTAATACATGATTACAATAAAAAAGAGAAAGAGTTCAGTATTTTTGCTGTTTTTGTGCCTGTAGGTATGATCCATACAGTAAGGTGTTCTCTCGGGAGTATTATGACCATGAGGCCATGCGGGCCAGCAGGCTGCAGGCTATAAAGAGGGCGCAGTCAGCCCAGAGATGGGGCCTCATTCTAGGCACGCTAGGACGGCAGGGAAACCCCAAAATCCTGGAGGTGAGAGAGTGCACGTTTATTGCGTGTTTGTTTTGTCTGTGTGTAATGCTTGCTAATATTTCACACGTCCCGCCTACACACACTCAAGCCCACATACAGTGCAGATACATACGAAAGCACACAAACACACACACACAATCTGCTCCTTGCCGTTTAGCTGTAGTGGAATGTGCCGGGGGTCTTAATCAGTTGTTGGGAATGGCGAGGGGGGGTCGTTCCCTACCCCCCCCATCTCTCCCTTTGTTCTCTGCCTCTTTTGATCTGCTCATTTTTGTTTTTCTCTCATGTATTGTGTTTGACTTTGTTTTGGCTGTTTTTTCCCCTTCCTTGTCTCATCTCCTCTTAATTGGTATGCATGGAGGAGGAGGGGAGCGAGGGAGGCAGAGAGATTTCCAACAGAGCACATTTTGCTGTCAAATGAGATTTTAAACCAATATGAATCTCTCTCCATCAGTCTCTCTGTCTCTGTACATCTCTCTCTCCCCTTTCCTCTCTCTCTCTCTCTCTCTCTCTCTAAATAAATATATATATATAATCTCATCCTTTTTTCAGTATTTCTATCTCATTCTTTCTCTTCCCCCTCTCTATCTCATTCTTTCTCTTTTTTCATCTCTCATCTATCTATCTATCTATCTATCTATCTGTCTGTCTGTCTGTCTGTCTGTCTGTCTGTCTGTCTGTCTGCCTGTCTGTCTCATTCTTTCTCTCCCCCTCTATCTCATTCTTTTCCTTTTTCCCTCTTTCTCTCTCTCTATCACATCCTATCTTTATGAATGTCTCTCTCTCTCTGTCTCACACTCTCTGTATCTCTTCCTCTTTTTCTCTTTCTTGCTTTCTCTCTCACTCTTTCCTGTCTCTATCTCTACCTCTCCCTTGGGTTGTCTTTCTGTTTCTTTTTCTCTCTTTTTTTTGTGTCTCTCTCTCTTTCTTTCTAAGCATATCTCTCTCTTTCTCTGTTGCTCTCACTCTGTCTCTCTCTCTTTCTGTGCATCTGTCTCTTTCTGTTTTTCTCCTCTGTCTCTTTTTCCACTCTCTCTCTTTCTGAGTATCTCAGTATGTTTTTCTAATGCTGTCTCTCTGTCTGTCTGTGCCTCTGTTTTTCTTTGTCTGTGGATGTCTCACTCTTTCTTTCATACAGTCTTGCTCTCTCTCTTCCTCTCTCTTTCTCTTGCTCTTGCTTTCTTTGTCTGTATCTTATCTTCTTTCTCTGCATCTCTTACTCTCTCTCACTCTTTCTCCTGTTCTCTCTCTCTCTCTCTCTCTCTCTCTCTCTCTCTCTCTCTCTCTCTCTGTCATTCAGATGAGGTCTAGAAGAGTTCCACTCTTAGGCAAACACACTCTGAGATTCTTATTTCTGGAGTAGTGGGGGTCTTTGTAACCACCGTTAGTGAGAGTGTGAAAGTATGTTTTATTTCCACACGTCCCCCCGGCGTATTCCCACTGGAGGCCCTCGCAGATGAAGCAGCAGAATGAGGCATTAGTTACTGTCAGCCTTCACTTTTCACAATGTCACATGTATTAAGTAGAGAGCACATTCTGAACTTGAAAAACGGAGGTGATTTGAAACTCGTGAAAGAGAATGAATGTATTTTAATAGGATTTTGAACAAAAAAATCCCATGCATATATTCAGCAGGAGAGGAGTCTCCGGGACTGGGGAACAAGTCGCTGCGCTAAATGTACATCAGTCGTTCCTTACACTTTTAGTTGAAAGAGGATCGCGTCAGCGACCTTTCCTGGGTCAGCTACACCTGCCTTAATCTGCCCATTCATATGATGAAGAGCTGAGTCAAACACACTGCTTTCTTTTATTTATTTGATTTTTTTTCAAAGATGATATTGCTTTGAAGTCATGCACGGCTCGTGTTTCACTCTGCTGATGTGTGGAGGTCTTCGCTGCTAATATTTATGGTCCGATGGGCTTCACACTTCAAAGTGTGTGTGGAGAGTGCAGGCGTGTGTATCATTCTCCTGCTCAAGAGGGCCTCACGTCTTGTGCTGGGGATAATGTTATTCCTGTGCTTCGCTGTGACTCGTGCTAACGTAAAGTGTAATTAATGCACAGGCTGAGCTGGTGAGAGAAAGCCATATCGGAGAGGATGTATATAGAGACACTTAAAAACACACACTCTGGAGGGCTCTTCTCTCAGAAGAAGGATGTTGAGATGCATGTGCTGTTTGTGTGTAGATGAGTGTATTATTTTCTGCTTGCATTGCTGATTATCCTGTCATAATGATATCTTGTCAATTGATTTTTGTCCACATTGCCCAGATGTTCATTATGACTTGGACTAACTCCAGAACCTCTATCACAGAAGCACAATTCGTCTTCACTTGAGGTGCATCGATACCATTTTTTTCAGGCAGAGTATGAGCACGAGTACAGATTTTTTAGTACTCGGAGATACAGAGTCAGATACCATACTGAGACTTAGAATTAAGTAGTTATTAGTGTGAATGAGTGCAATGTACCTTAACAGTTAAATCATTAAAATCTAGTTAATTTTGAATGACGTGCATTAGCTGGCTATGCTAGATCTGCTCCTCAACGGAAAATGCTTCTGTACAGCTGTAAGTAAAGTGCGCTTCATTCCAATCTGTCTCTTTCAACAGCGGTCTCTGTAGCACAGTGACAGCAGGAATCGCATCAGAGGCTAACGCATCTGAGAAGCTCACTTTAGGAGTTTACATATGTGGTATTTTGTTTGGCTGGTTGAGCTGCAGCTGAATGTCCTCTAAAGCCAAACATGCACTATGTGATTTTAGAAATCTTGTTCTTAGGGGGACTTACACTGTACGTTTGAACAAACCATCATGTACGGACAAAGCCTACAGTTATATACTCGCACTGCACTGTATGAAAATGCTCCATCCAAGCTACATGAAAAGGAGCCTCGACAGGGCTGGTTGGTTGCAAACTTGCAAACTTTGCTACTATATATATATATATATATATACTGATACCATATTAGACTTAAAATGCAGTATCATGGGAAGTATATGATGGGAATATCAATACCTATGACCAGAGGGCAGCAACATGGGGCTCTTTTACTGCCCTTTTGCGGCTCCACAGCAGAATTAGATATTTAGGTAAAGTAAAAATAATCTTCTTTTGCAGTAAAATAAAGCTCTGCTGATCATTCTCACACAGTTTTAACAATAAATGGTCTTACACACTGGAGTTAAGGTATAACTGCTAATTCACCCTTTAACCCTGAAGGTTGGCGTGCAAACTGCTTGGCACCATAGCAACCCAGACAACAATTTTAACTAGCCAGTGGCTAATGAAAAGGCAAAGAGAAACATTTAAGACCAACATCGATAATTTGGAGATGAATTAGCATTTATAATCACTCCAGCTGGTTTCCTGATAAGTTTAATCTGCAACGAGAAACTTTTAAACACTAAAAAGTCGCTAAGCTGAAGTCGCCAACTTCTTGTTCAGATTCTCCCATTCCACCTTAAATGGTGAGGTAGTCGCATTCTGGTACCTCAGATGCCATTTAAGGTGGAACAGGAAAATACAAACAAGAAGCTGGAGAATGAGAAGCGACTTCAGCCTTGTAAAGAGACGTTTTACAAGAAACTATTTCACTTTTAAGAAGAAGTTTCCTGCCGGAGATGCAAAAAAAGTGGCTATAGCTGAGCTAAAGCTTAAAGCACAGCCAGGTAGGTCTGCATTTTTGTTTGAACTATATATTTTAGTCTATACTAGGACATTAGCTAGCACATACTGAGATGTATTTTCAGCCAAGATGGTAAAATCTTACTTCAATAAAATTAGCATAAAATGTTGTGGCTCCTAAGGTGGTTCGATTTTTGTTGAAAGAACAAAATGGCTCTTCTTAACATTTGGGTTGCCGACCCCTGCCTATGACTGTTACCATGAAGTATGCACAGTCTTGAGTGTTTACATGCACCAATAGACAGAATTTAACAACATCGACTGAGTAGGTTGACGAGCAGCAGTAAAAACAATGCCACTATTTCATCAAAATGCTAGAGTAGTGACTGACTGTACTAGTTGAAATTCTTCCTAAGGTATTCATTTCTCTAGTATACCACAAATGAGCCAGTTAACAACGTACAAACAGTAGCTACAAAACACACTAACTGGACCTCTACCTGAACGGCTGAGCCATGCTTCATTCAGTAATCCCTCATCTCCTGCGCTGCAGTCACTTTTAGTTTGAGTTGATGGTGGTCCAGATTGTTATTGAGGGAGCAAGTTAGAGAGACATGTAAGGGACGGATGGTCTCTTGGGGTAATAATAGGCTTCAGGCTTGGTTTTGCATTTAGCATAGCAGTGTGCTAGCTGGGTTATTGTGTTCACCAGCACTGCCTACAGTGCACTTCCGTTGGTCAGTTGCAGCATGCAGAGGAGGGGTCTTGTGGTCTGTTGGTTCAGCAAGCCAGAAAAAATGCTGAAAGCTGCTGCTTCTGACAGCGTGCATGACTGTAATATTTATTAAACTCCAGCAGTGTCTGACGCTCAGAGATGTAAGTGCAAGTGAATGCTATGCACATATGAGACAAATGACTTGAGCAATTTGGATGTGAAACAACATTCAGCACCACTTTGCTGAGCCAGAGAAGCTGCTGCATGCTCACATAGACACACCACAGGTCTATATTTTGTATGGGTCTGTGTTTAACTGTTTTGCACAATAAAAAAAATATTGATTTTATTTTTTTTGGTTCAATAGCATGATATACATGAACAGTAAACAATGTGCTTTTCTCTTTTCTTTATATAAAAAATAAAAAAAAACAATTTAAAAATATATATATATCAACAGGACATTGAATACAGATATTATCGGTAGCTGATGAATTGTTAGTATCTGTTCTACATTAAAATAGTGTAACACATCAGGACACAAACTCTACAAGCCATATATGAACAGTTTTTCCCCTTCTTTTATGGATGGAGAGGAGGTAATGGGCCTGGCCCTTAAGCACACTAAAAATAATACATTCTGTAGGGAATGATTGAGTGTGTGGGAAATAGGTAAACAGTGGTTCCTGAATATAATAAAAGTTTTTTGGAGCCTCTAATAGTGTCTGTAATCTTCTCCAAATGTATGAAGAACATGAGCTCTTTTAACCATTGTGCTGCTTTGGCAGGAATCTGAATTCTGGATTTCCACTTTCCACAGAATTTGTCTGCGTGCTAGCAGTGCAATGAAAATATTTAATATATAATATATTATAATATATAATAATTAATACTCTTAATATATTGAAAAATGTACATATGCTTCCATTAATTAATTTTGAAGTTCTGCTGCTAGTTATTAAGGTTCTACATGACCTAGCACCTGCATAGCTCACAGAATGCCTGTCTGTTTGTGTTCTACCACATGATCTCAGATCTGCAGATACTGGCCTTCTGCAGATACCTTTCCTTAAAGTACAGACAATGTGGGGAGGCCTCTTTCTCTTTCTATTATGCTTCTAAACTGTGGAACTTGGTTCCACCTTTTATTAGACACTCAAGCTCAGTGCACACTTTTCAGAAATGTGAAGGCATATCTCTTTATTTTTTTAGCATTTAATTAAAATTCTATACACTTATGCACTTAGAGCAGCCACCGTTATGAAAAATGCTCTATGCTGTGTACTATAAAGATGATATTATTATTATTATTATTATTATTATTATTACCCATTCATCTTGAGTATTGGAACTCTGTACTAAAAGAATGTCCTACAAAACCGACATAGCTTGTTTTGAGAGGACTGTTTGCCGTGTCTTATTTTCTTAAAGGGAGCTTTACTCAGTTCCAAAAATGTATCAATATGGCTAAAACTGAAAATCAATATTGTGGACATAACTTCTAAACCAGTATTCTGGAAAAAGTCTATGTTGTCCATCACTATTCAACACACATGAGGTCTTTTGATTCTATGTCTGCTCTGAAGTGTTTGATGTCTAGTATAAGGATCAGTTCTGGATGGAGGTCCCGTCCAGCAGCGATAGTAGGGGCCATTTTTAGTACAAAAAGCCCCCAGACAGACCAGGGTCATTTGGTAATTGGCTACAATGAATAAATGGATGATGTTTCTTTTTTTTTCCACCTGCCTTAACCCTCCCTCCTCTCTCCCTCTCTAGCATTTAGAGAATAAGCTGGAGGCTTTGGGCAGGTCGTTCACCAGGGTGCTGCTCTCTGAGATTTTCCCCAGCAAGTTGGCTCTGATGGCAGATGTCGACGCGTGAGTCTCGCCACCGCCTCCTTCATGCACAGTCACGTTCTCATTTTCGCGCAATTAAAAATCAGCTCATATTCTTCACACAAGGCAGCCTTCCCCAAAACAAGGCGTGCATTAATCTTGGGTTTAGTGCCCCCTGAGGACCCACAAGAAGGGAAAGAAATGTGAAGGGCTCAGTTTGACAGCAGGGGCAAAGAACACTTGTGATGGTGTGGCAACTTTGTTTCATAACCAGCCACCACACTCCTGCGTAGACGTTTTTGTGAAAGTGCAGCAGTCCTTAGACGCGATTGCCGCTTGTCAGTGCTACGAGCTAAATTTGTTCTATTTAGGATTGTCTTCTGGTGTGGCAGGGGACAGGGTTTATCTCATGTTCAGAAACCCATATGATTATACACCCATATCAATATTATTCATGGGTCATGAAGCCATTGACCACATGTAGTTCATTGTCAACGCATCAGTGCAAGATGCACAATGAAGCATATATTAAATATGCGCAGTTTGAACAGTATCGACTTTCACTTCCAAGCCTGGCAGTTTTATCCGGTTAGCATTGGTTAAATCACTGCCTATGGATAGAAAATAGCTGTTTTAGGTCACAGAAAAATCAAATAAAAAATAATATGATCAATAATATGATGTAATCAGCTATACAGATTTAATTTAGTCTAAATAAACTTTCCATAATACGCTGTTCACATGCTATGTGGTGGTGATGTAGCAGAATTAGCCTTCACCTGTTTAATATTGAAGCTCCGTAGATAATTTTACATATAAAAAACATTTTTTGCCAAACAAATTAAATATAAATATCATTTTGCTGCACTCAGCTGCACTCTCTTGAACTGATTTAATGTTTTATGTCCCGCACATCCATGTTTTCATGAACACGGGCCTTGTGGACCTCTGTGCTGAATTCTGTCAGCAGCTTGAGTGGGTGACTCCAGCACTCCAGATTAAAAACTTTTCAAGGTAGTGAAAGTAGGGAGGAAGAATAAAATAAGCTGAACAACGAAGACAGGTAAGAATACAGGATGTGGAACGTGGACTGCCACGACTCAAACATGAAATTTTAACCCGAGCCCCACACATTTGAAACATGATGACTGAACCCGACCGGACCTGACGTGAGCCGTCGGCTCCCGTCGTGTTCGGACAAATATTTCAAGTTCTAACACACAAACACACACATCCTATGAAGAGCTGACAAGAGGAGACCTGATCTAAGGTTGTGGTGTCATTCTGTAGTCAACGGCATGCCCATCTTCGAAACTCAGTTCTAGCTGTACATGATGTCAGCAGGTTTCTCTAAGAAAAAAAGGAATGGCATTTTTGAAAATCTCTGAACATCTAAAATGCTCCAAAGCCAGTATGTTTTGCCGTACAGACATTTTTTTTATTCAAACATCACCGAACCCTTTGAATTACGAGGTTGTTAAGGAGCCAAGATACAACTATTGCTACAGGCACACTAACAGTGCTGCACACTACAGCTTAAGTAGCTGGTGATGGTATAAAAGTTTAATAGTAGACTTAATTGTATGCACTCATTTCAGAATGCACATATGTAGCAATATTTATATTTTGACTGCTAAATGGTCACATTATTCTGAGGATCCATTGACACTCGAGGGGAGGGGGTAATGTACACAGGGTGAAATACACTATATGGACAAAAGTATTGGGACACAACTCCTAATTATTGAGTTCAGGTGTTTTACCCATTGCTAACAGGTGGATAAAATTAAGCACATAGTCTTGCAGTCTTGAAAGACAAACGCTGACAGTAGAATGGGTCGTACTGATAGCTCAGTGACTTCAAACATGGCACTGTCATAGGATGCCAGGCCCTCTCGTCCAACATCAGTATCTGACCTCACAAATGCTCTTCTGGATGAATGGGCAGAAATTCCTACAGACACAGAATTCCTACAGAAGAGTGGAAGCTGTTATAGCTGCAAAGGGGGACCAACGTCATATTAATGCCTATGGATTTAGAATGGGATGTTATAAAAGCTCCTGTAGGTGTCCCAGTACTTTTGTCCGTATAGTGTATATTGGCTTTAAGGCATTTTTATTTACCACAAGATGCAACGGAGGGGATTTTCAAAAATGCTGTTCATTTTTGCTGTTTACAGAATGACCCACTTCCAAGGTTTATAGGTAGTGATAGGTTGTATTATCCTGGCATGTAAACCTTTGTCACAATACAATACAATTTCGAATTGCAAGGCAGTAATTCAATATTTGATAATATTTCAAACGTTACTCTGATACAGCTCTCCTCAGTCACATATAATTGCTATGACTGATTCATCCTGCTAACAAATTTTTCATTTCTATTTCAATTCACTATAAACAAACCAGCTTGACTAAAACATTTATTAAGCTCTGCTTAATCAAAAACCCTATCATCTTTCAAAATTGAACATTTTCATCGGCTACATAGTTCCAGGTTATGCATTGATGTGTGTACGTTTGGTCAGCAGAATTCTATTTTAACCTTCAGAATTAACATACTCTTCTATTCATTTGTAATAGAAGCATGAAACTCTAGGCCTCCCTCTGCCTGGCTGTTCAGTAGGACAGAATGAGTATCAGCACTGCCCTCTGCACAGGGAGGGAGGGGTGGGAGCGAGGGACAGAAGGTCCGGGAGAGAAGGAGAGAGGAAGGCGGAGGTGGGCGAGGAAGCTGCGCTGAAGAAGTGAGTGAGAGAGCGAAGACAGCGGGGTTTGGCCGCCCGCCTCGGTCGTGCCTCTCTCACGCCTCTGGGAACGACGCTGCATATATAATCCCAGCAGGACATGATGGGCAGGAGCTTACTCTCTCTCTCACTCTCTCTCGCTCTCTCTCTCCAGCTATCTTTCTCTTTTCCCTGCCAACTGCCGCCACTGTCAGTGGCTAACAGTGTCACTGCTGTAGATTGATTACATCTTAACTGGGACGGATGAGCTGAGAAAGAGAGAGAGCCGTTTGAATGAGTGTAGTGTGAGTTACATGGGCTCTCGCTCTATTCTGTATGATAGTTATGTAACGAACTACAAGAATTATGGATTACATCACGTGACGTTATTGCAGTAACACACAACCTTGAGTTTTCTGTTGCTTTTATGTTTTGTAAAGCAACATCGCTTTAAATATTAACAAAATGAATTGTTTAAATATATAGATGTATTCGTCCCAGCATCAAGTACAATATTGTTGTTACTTAGCAACCAGAGGTCAGCAGGATGATACAGGTATGGTTAAAAGACGTGTGTTGTTATTAGATAGAACAACATGGGTAGAACTGACGTGTGGTGATGATGTGGCTACAGACTTCGGTTGGCTGTTTATTGTAGTTCTGCAATCCAGTGTGGCAAAGAGGAGGATGGAATTTTGAGTCTTGATTCCTCTTAAGGTTTCTGCTCTAATGAGCCACTGTCGCCCTCAGCTGCAGTTTGCACATTAGGGGTTTGGACCTGAATTTCTGAAGACCTGCTCCACCCACAAATGTGTCCTTTCATGGAAAAACATGGGAGAACATTAAAATGCTGTTCTCAATAAAAATTGTAGATCTTAAGTCCACTTTGCAAATCACCTACATTTAGAATGTTAGGGTTATTAGAGGAAAAAATCCCCAATTGTTAAAGTTTCCATGTTTTTTGTTCCATCAAACTTGCTGAGTCAGAATTGTTCTCAGTGGTGGTAATAGGAACCAGACATCTGAAGCAGTTAATACCTCTGAAAGCTACATCACAGAAAGCTGTTACATGAAACAGTCACAAGTAGATTGTTTTACGATACTATAACGATACAGTTTTGGCCTAAAATGTATTTTTAAAATCCATTCATGCCAAAGAGATGCATGGAGGGTGTTGTATCAGCAAAGTAGTACCCAGTGGAAAAAATGGAAAGATTTACCACTATTTTACCATTTATCAACATTAAATTCAGAAACTCAGAAGAGGTGTACATTCACTGGACATTTTGGAAAAGTAAATAAAATGTGTTTGCCTTGTAAACAGTGTGATGCCTGGTTTCTATTACCAGGTTTCTCTACAGTGAACCATTTCACCGCAAACCATTCTAAATGACTTGTTTCATCTAAATAATGGAATAATGCAGAAATTTGAAGAGTTTTGGAGAATTTTGAACAATCAGTGGGATTCCTCTTTAATTTTAAATGATATTTATTTTGTATTCCTGAGAAAAGTGACTCTGATATGAGTTTTTATTCAGGCTAACTTTACCACCAAGTTTGTTATTGTCGCTTTTTTAACCTGTCTAGTTTCAGTTGGCTACAACAACAGAGTATAGTTTAAAAATGGAAAGTCAACTTTATGTATTCACTCTAAACAAAGTGTTCTACAGTTTCTCATTATCCAAACTGCCAACAGTTGCTATAAAAGAATGCACTTTTGGGTGGAGCGTGAATAGATTAATTGAATTTTAGCTTCTGAGGCAGATCAGGAGGCGAGGCTGAGGATGATTCTCTGCCCAGTGTAGCTCTCCTGGGCTGAGTTACGGCCTGTAGATGGTGCAGCTAAAGCAGTAGGCCAAAGGGCCGGGAATCATCTTCGGCTTCGATACACAGGAAGGCTTTAGATTCTCCTTTTGGGCCGAAGTGTTTGATGTCTAGCGAAAGGATGAGTTCTGCATGGAGGTCCCGCCCAGCAGAAAGCCGTGGAGTCATTCCACACTTCTCTCCAGCTACTGGCACCTTCTCTGTCCTGCATCGATCATTCCGTCTGAGAGAGGAAGGAGCACCCTGAGGGAGACAGAAATATATATCCGGAGAGGACATTTGAAGCTTTTGCCACAGAAGCAAGGCACTTTTTTTTAAAACAGTGTTTTCTGTAGCCTTTGCCCTTCCGACGGTGGTGAGAACAGAGTGTTCTCTACTTCTAGGCCTGGATTGAAGGCACAGAACTGAGCGAGAGAGATAGACTTGGAGGATGGACAAGCCTGTACAGACTCAAGGCCACCGTGCATCCATGCATTAACGCACATCGCAGAC